TAGTTGGCCTGATCTACAGTGAGGGACCAGGGCCAGGGGCCGTGTCACCTAGAAGCAGGAACACATAGAAGAGAATCCTTCCTATTCAAGCAAACCAGTTGAAGATCTCAAGTTCTTCTTGAAAATGAGAGAAGTTAATTATACCCATCACCTTTCCTGTGTTAAGGCTGTGGCACCTTCCAGCAGACAAGTTGTACTGACTTCATGATTCTATCTGGAAGCTGCTGTTCTCCAGAAGCTGACACTGATATTAAACAAAAAACCAAACAAACTGTACCTTGATTTTAGATAATTTCCACTACACCTAAGTACAGCCTCAACAGCAAGTGTCCCAGTATGTAGATGCTTTGTCTAAAGTAATCGTGGATAATCGACAGGCCCAATAATCTATTTTCACCAGAGTGGTCAGCCATGGATCTGGCTCATGTACTCTAGGCAGGCTGCACTTGTGGTATGATACCATGTCAATCTGAGAGCTGCCAGCTAGGGGGTCTAATGCTGGCATCCTACAAAATGGCTGGACCTGTACTGAGACAATTTGGGAGTGTGCAGATCTGAGGCCTCATAGGTAATAAGGAGGTGGTGTACACAGTCTCTCAAAATGTCATGAAAGTGGGCAAGCCAGAGCCTGTTGCTGGAGTTTAGCATGCTGTGGTCACTGTTATTGCATTGATCTTGAAAGGCACGGCAGGAACCTGATGGATTCTAGGTGCTCACAATTGTGTTAGGACAGCACCCAGAGAATAGAGTATGAGTGAGTAGAACCCCACTGATGGTCTTTGGCATCACAGAGGAACCTGGCCTCTCATGTCCTAGAAGCAACAGGAACTCTAGTCTCAAGGACCAAAAAATTTGGTGGAGTCTTGGCATTGGATAACACTGTGCATGTTGTGCTACTCTGCACACCAGTTGAGGTTCTTGGATGCCACTTTAAATGACAGAGCAATGCCAGTAACTTTTTTTTTTTTTTTTAGGTCAGTAACTTCTTAGAGTGACTAAGATGATATGGGGATCATAGCCACCAACAAAAGCCACATATTGTATGGCTTGTGATATACATTCATCAGATATGGAGAGATTTCTAAACCCAGGACTTGTAAGGTCTAAATCTCTAATAAACAAGAAGCAGCTGCAAAAGATTAAATGAAACTATATCTTTGAGCAACTTATATGAATAGCAGTTGGAAATCTCAGAAGGGAATGAAAAAACAGGCAGATAGCAAGCTCAGACACACTAGTTGGAGGCCATTTATCTTATATAATACAGCTTTACTACTTCTCAGCCATATACCCTTCCCCAGATTTAACTCACACTCATCAGGGATTGGAGAGTGATGTTCTGTAACTACTCCCCTTCCCAGGCTCATGAAAAGCCAGGCAAAGCAGAAGGTCAGTCCCTGTGGATACAAGAGGAAAGTAGAAACAGCTTTCTTCTACTTTTCCTCTCCTGCCTACTCTAACCCTGAAAGTTTTTTTCTGTGATTTCCTCAAATTCCAAATAAACTTGACAGAAAAAAATCAGCCAAATTCTAAAGCATTCTTTGACTTATAAATCTGAGTGGTTGTATGAGTGAGCAGTATACATTTAGTACATGTTTTCTTGTAAATCTTTAAAAGTTTCTGGCATAAACATGGCTATTTTACTTTCATTTGGGCTACTTTTCAACAAAACATGCATAACACTTTATTTCACTTAAATTCTGTTTATCCTATTGGTCAGTTTAATCACAGATTTAAGGTAAAATAACCGAATTCTTTTAAGTCTTTTAGAGCCCACCTTTCCCTAAGCAAATAAAACTCAATTCGGCAGAGAATACTTGAAACATGACCAAAGACACAAATTCATTGCTTAATAAAACAGTTGAAAACCCTAAGAAAATCCTTGTATAAAATATCTACCATATGACACCTTCTCTTGGGAAAATTTAAATATATTAAGAAAAATCAGAGGTAAGGAACTAGATAAGAATTGATTACAAGTTGAACAGGTGTAATTAAATTCAACGCAAAACAAAAATGCCTTAGAAAAATGATTTGAAGAATTTTTAAAAATTGATTCTCAAAGTAGTCAAATTTTAATTTATTAACTATTAACATAAAAACATGTTTAATGCTATGGCATCAAATTCTAGCTACACTGGAGTGTACCTTTGTCATTTATGATCAATTTTTAGATAATATCAAGAATGTTTTTCCAATTTCAATAAATTTAATTCCATGTAATATTCATCTTTCATAAACCTTGAAAAGCACTCTTCAGTTGTTTATTCTATACTGATCCTATTTTATTTAACCTATAGTGCATCTCCTTTGTAAAATTACTATCTATTACAATTCAGATAAAAAACATCTCTCATACCTGTCTTCAATATTCATGACATTCTCATGCATGTGGCTTCAATTACATTTCTCTCTCCACTATTCTTGGATTTTTTTATTTTACATTAAAAAAAATTAACAAAACAAAAAACTAGGACTATCAATGATGGTCTAGCAGGCTAATCCTCTGGTGCAGTGCCAGCATCTTATGACAATGGGAATCCAAGCTGCTATATTTTATGTTTAACTCCCTACTTATAACCTAAGAAAAAAGAAGATGCCTGTAATTTTTAGGCCCCTGTACATGGGAACACTGGAGGAGACACCTTGGTTTCAATCAAATCAGCTATGGCCATGGCAGCCATTTGGAGAGTGAACCGATGAATGGAATATCTCTCTGCCTCTAGTGTCAATGTATCTTTCAAAGAAAAATTTAAAAATAATGAAACACATCTAAATTAAGAAGAAAAGATTTAAAAGATTCAGAGTTGTTTCTGTAATTATTTTTAAACAATTTTTGAAGTTTGAAGGAATTAAGTGGAAAAAAAAAAAAAAACATGTATTTTACCCATATGGATTTCCAGTATGAAAAGCAAGGACTTTAGCATTTCATACAGGGATCCCATATGGGTGCCAGTTTGTATCCCTACTGCTCTTCTAGCGTACCAGGCCCCTGCTTGTGGCCAGGGAAAGTATTCAAGGTGGCCCAGGACCATGGAACCCTGCTCCTGGCTCCTGGCTTTGGATCGGCTCAGTCCTGGCCAGCTGTTTTGGCCACCTGGGGAGTGCAGCAGCAAATGGAAGATCTTTCTCTCTGTACATCTGATTTTCAACTTAAAAAAAAAAACCAAAAAAAAAACCCTTAATTTTACATTACATAATACCTTCTTTAGTGTTGTTACACTCAAGTACAGAGCAATGTTTTAAGATGTACAAACCCAACAGTTTGAAAAAAGTATTAGATAACAACAGCAATTGCACATGAGAAGACACAATAGGGAGATTTAGATTAAGTCCCTGTTGCTCATATGCAGGAGGTGGAAAGATACAGAAGATACAGAAAGTGGATCCAATACTCTTGAAACTTGCTTCAACCCATGAATACTGAAGCAGGATCTATAACCTGAATACATAAATACTATTTTACCTGAACCCCAACAAATCCCTTCATTTTCCATATTCGGCCTTCCTAGGAGGCAATGAGAAGAATCAAAGCACATTAGAATGCTATCAGAGGGACTGGGAATGTTTGTGAAGGAAAACTGGAAAACATTAAATAAATCTCACTGTGAAATAGTCTCTCTGCGGTGTGTTCCCAAGGAAGACCTTGGCAAGGATCTCTTCAGCACCAATATCAGAGAGATCACAGCTAGGGGTTCACATGAGAATGCTGGTGGAAATCCGTTAGATATGCACAAACTTCACTCTGCAGTTTAAGGCATGGATTATATCATAAATGACACATTCTTCAGAAAAAGATGCCTCTCTTCTACTTGATGCTCAACATTTTGGAGCTTGAAAGGCTCATGCCTCTAAATAGTAAACAATAGAACTAATCAAGGCTGTCACAGATGGAAAACATGTCAATGTGCTTAATACTAAACATTTGACTTACCTCAACTTCAGTAATGACGCCCATGCTTAAAATAATTTTTAACTTATTTAAGCATGGAATTACAATTAAGAGACAGAGGCAAAGAGGCATATTCATTCCATTAATTCAAATCCCAAATCATTCCAACAGCAGTTGCGGAGCTGGTGTGAAAACAGAAGCCAGGAGCTAGATCAGAAATGAATCAGCTAGGACATGAACCAATGGTACCCTAGGTTACCATAGCAGGGTTACCAGAAGTACACCCTATTCTTCCACAGTGCTGGATTTGATGCTCATCATTATAGTTGGAAGACATTAGGCACAGGTTGGTATCCATTGGCAAGAAACTTGCTGTGGAAAGTCATGGTGCATGAAATCAGTGTGAATGTGAGCAGTAGTTGTGGCAGCTTATATTTAAACTACAGTGGCCATTACCAAAATCTGATACCAGAAAATTCTGATGCCTCTTGCATATACCTTTAAAATCATACACTGAGACAAGGGCCAAAAGTGACCTACAGTTTGCCAGATGTCAATGAATCACTCCCTCCACTGAACAAAAGATCCACCGTTCAAAGCTGGGTGATTAGCATTACAATTGCCACATGCATCAGTTGATATTTGTGAGTCCCACATTAACCTGTAGTAGAACACTGGTGATTTAAACTGTAAAAATAGCTATACAATAGATAACTGTATAAATGATATATGGAATTTTAACCAATGTTTTACAAAGAACATTTATTTTGAAAATTAAAATCTGAAAACAGAACTTATTTACAACAACATGAGATCAAGTACGGAATCCATCTCAAATATTTTAGCAATGCATAGCCTTCTTTTAAAAATTTGACACTCCTCATCTTTATTGTTTGACAAATGTTGAGACGTTCAAAGTGTTTTTCACAACCTACTGCAATTTTAAAATGTGTCCTATCTGTGACCTTACTAATGCTTGTTTCAGACTTTACAAGATTTGGCTATGACAATAAGGTTGTAGTAGCTAGTTTTTCTGTTTACATACCTTTATTTTTCTGAGATTCACAGGATCTGCAGAGGATTGTCTTCAGAAAAATGATTGTTGATAGTCAATGCACTATTTTTGTTCCTTCCTGTGGGTATGCTACTGCATTGTAAATCCATGTCAGTTTTTGCTTTCTATTGCATTTGATGCTTTGTGTACTAATTTTTCAACGCTTGTTCAGGCATGAGAATTTGCTCATGTAATAGCTCTGCTAGCAAAAAGATTTTCCATACTCTTCATATTGAAAAAGTTTCTGTCTTGTGTGAACTCTATGATGATTGATTAGGTCTGATTTATGGCAAAAGGCTTTCCCACACTCAACACATTCATAAGGTTTTTCCCCTGTGTGGGTTCTCTGATGTATGTTCAGCGATGACTTTTGACAAAAAGCTTTGCCACACTCACTACATTTATAAGGTTTTTCTCCTGTGTGAATTCTCTGGTGTATGATTAAGTATGACTTTTGACAAAAAGCTTTCCCACATTCACTACACTTATAAGGTTTTTCCCCTGTGTGGATCCTCTGATGTCTAATGAGAACTGACTGTGTGCAAAACAGTTTTCCACACTCATTACATTTATAAGGTTTTTCCCCTGTGTGAATTCTCTGATGTGTGATTAGGTGTGACTTGTGACAAAAACCTTTCCCACACTCACTACATTTATAAGGTTTTTCCCCTGTATGAATTCTCTGATGCTTAATGAGACCTGAATGTTGGTAAAAGCCTTTTCCACACTCATTACATTCATAAGCTTTTTCTCCTGTGTGGATTTTCTGGTGTATGACTAGGTATGACTTGTGACAAAAAGCTTTTGCACATTCACTACATTTATATGGTTTTTCCCCTGTGTGAATTCTCTGATGTGTGATTAGGTATGATTTATGACAAAAACCTTTTCCACATTCACTACATTTATAAGGCTTTTCCCCTGTGTGAATTCTCTGATGTACAATGAGGCCTGACTGCTGGCAAAAGGCTTTCCCACACTTACTACATTCATAAACTTTTTCCCCTGTGTGGATTCTTTGATGTGCATTTAGGGATGGCTTGTGACAAAAAGTTTTTCCACACTCATTACATTTATAAGGTTTTTCCCCTGTGTGAATTCTCTGATGTACAATAAGACCTGACTGCTGACAAAAGGTTTTCCCACATTCACTACATTCATAAGCTTTTTCCCCTGTGTGGATTCTCTGATGCATGATTAGATGTGACTTCCGACAAAAAGCTTTTCCACACTCACTACACTTATAAGGTTTTTCTCCTGTGTGGGTTCTCTGATGTATGATTAGGGATGACTTTTGACAAAAAGCTTTCCCACATTCATTACAATCATAAGGTTTTTCCCCTGTGTGAATTCTCTGATGTTTAATGAGAACTGATGGCTTGGAAAAGGTTTTTGCACACTCATTACATTTATACGGTTTTTCCCCTGTGATAATTCTCTGATGTCTAATGAGATCTGATTGAGCACAAAAGGATTTCAAAAGTTCATTGCATTCATATGGTTTGTCCTCAGTGGGAAGTATCTTATCTCTAGCGAGTTCTGATTTCTGGTAAATGCTTTTTTTACAATCATTGCAAACACAGAAATTTTCTATCTCACTTCTCTGTTTGGTGGTAAACCAAGAGCTACAGCTAAAAGACTGTTTGCAGTAGCGACATATATAGTGACTTTTCGCTGTTTGGGTTATCTGATTTACTTTGAGATCTCTTTTACTAATAAGACATTTCTCACTCTTGAAATGTTCATGAAATTTCTTTCCTGAGTGTGTTTGTTGATGCATGCCAAAATACGGATTGCTATGGAACATTTTCTTTTCAACCTGAATTGTTTCTCCTACAATGAGAGGGTCATTACATGGGTCTTTGATACAAATTTTCTCACACTTAAGGAACATCTTCCTGCTGCAAGTATTTTCTTTCCCATTGTGTTCAAAAGACTGCTTACAAGTGTACTCCTTGTCATGCTGAATGAGATTTTCCCCACGTTGGAGTTTGCTCTCAGGTGCATTAGAGGCATGCTGTTTCCAAATTGAAATTTCATCAGGATTCCTAGGGGAGAAAAAAAAAGACAAAACTCATTTTGAAGTAAATTATGGTGTGTTCCTCTCTCTTTTCAAGAGGCACCCCATCTTTGAGATCTTTCCTGGGGCACACTTTCAACCTCTCCACTTCTTTCTAAGTTCACCTGGCCAATTAGGAAGCAAAAATTCTGTAAGCAATTGAGTCGGAGTTTCTGCTCCTATACTAAGCTGCAGAAAGAGCCACAGAGATTTCCTGGTAACATTTTCTCTCGTGCCCAATACAGGGCATGAAAAAGTATAAGAAGTTACACCAGAGTCATGCGGCTTGACTCAGCAGAGAGAAGAATTCACAATGTTGGCATGCCTTCCCTCAAGTGGGACCGAACCTGTGAAAATGATTCTTGATACCCCATGGCTCTGCATAAACATGGACCACTTCAACCCATCCACTGGCCACCACCTTGCTCTGGCTGAAACTCTAGATGGGTTGTTTTCTTTAGGGGGATGAAGTTAGGAAGTATGGCTGTTTAGTACTTAAGAGTCTCTAATCCCCAACTAACTATTTGTTTTTTTCCTGTCACCTCAATTTCCCTTTTGGAGAAAGGCTCTGAATGCATGTTTGGAAGAAACCTGGTGGAGGACTGACAGTCCATGTCAGAGGCTACTTTTCTGCATGACTTGAAACTCCCGAGGTGGATTCTGAATGCTGACCACCTGGCATGGTACCCAAGTGCCAACCTCCTTTTTCATGTTTCATTTTGGTTTATTCTTAGTGAAGGAGGAGTGAGATTCATGACACCCCCACAGGTATTCTGCTTGGGTTTGACCATTTGAAATGACTTACTTGGATCTTTGATGGCCCCCTCTACATTCCTGAGATGAAGTGAGAGAAGAACAATTCCTTTATTTTGTCTCCTGGCTCAATTCTATCACCATGTGGCTTGCCACATCTGAGACCTGAACAACCAAAGAATGGGAGGGGTTCATTTGGAACTACACAGTATGAGCCTTTTTCTGGTAGAGACAACCAATGAGAAATGTCTTCCCACAAGTTCCTGCTCAGAAAAGGAAGGGTCATGGAACACTTAAAAACCCAAGACCCTTCTGAAAAATGTTGGTGTTTCTCCCTGTCTCCATTCAACAGGTATCCCAGCTCCTACTCTCTTCCAGGTGGTCCTTTTCCATCCCCTCTGCTTTCTACATTCACCTGGTAACTCTGCAAATAAAACTTCTCTGTCTGCAAATTAAAAAAAAAAAAAAAAAGAAAGAAAGAAATTAGATTTCAATCTTCCTTTTTATAAGAATTTCCCTTTCATATCATGTTTCAATTATGGCTACAGCTTAAACTAAGCATCTTTGGCAATGCAACTATTTTAGAAGTTATTATACAACTTTTGTGATTACAACTTGCCTGAAGGTGGTTTCCTGATTTTCCTGATTAGTTCTAAGCAGCCCATTCTTTCTGTAAGGATCTGAAATGAGGAAAAGGAGTAACCATATCTGTGAATCACATCTAAGTATTTATTTTCAAATGCTCAAGTGAGACAATGATGTTTCTTGCCATTCTAGGTATAGCAGACTTTAACATTAGGACAATGCACATATTTATGATCATTACACTTTTTAAATTAATATATTAATATAATAAATAGGGTTTCTTTTTCTATTTTCAATTACTTGGAATTTCGTATTTTAAGTTGATGGGGTAGGACAGAAAATATGGTACAGAAATTCACACTATTACATCACATAACAGGTCCAGTTTGTCTTGTTTTGCTGGGATCATGTCAAAGATCAATATTAAGTTCTACATTTTTGATTTCAGGTTGATAAATTTTAATATTTGAAGGTATTGTCAGAATTGACCTGCACATGGAGACTGTAGAGTGCCTTTGTCTCATGCACGACATAAGCTGATTTTGGAAGAAACATAAAAAAATAATAAGCATGATTTCCAGTGAATATTTACTGAGCTATGTATCAACCTCTCTGCTCAGTATGTACTGACATACCTGAAAGTTGCTGGTTTACAGATTTTTCCACAGTCCATGGTACTAATTCTTGCTCCAACTTGAAGATCACATCAGGTTTTGTTATGAAGTACCCTGTTAGTTGGAAATAATAGAGACTTTGTGAAATCACTCTTTTGGAGCTTAAAGAAGAAAAGATTGGATCTAGAATCTATGTAACAAAACCGATATTATAAATGATTATAAATGATTATAAATAGTCTCAAATACTAGTCTTACTAAGTACTAAACTTTATAAACTCTTCTTTAATTTGTCAAGTATAAAGAAAGAATTCTGCCTGGGCATGACAGAATTTCACTCACCCACGGACAGCAGATTGCTATAGGTCTCAAGCATGACATCCCTGTACAGGGTCCTCTGAGTATTGTCCATGTCCTGCCATTCCTCCTGGGTAATGTCCACAGCCACATCTTCAAACGACACCAACACCTGCAACAGCACATGTCTCCTCAGTTCTGCACCATGAAATAGAAAGACCAAAAGTACATTCTTCTACATATGTTTGATTTGAAACATCTATGGATGCAGCTTAATTTATAATCTATATGGCATTATAGAGTAAAAGCAAAATAAAAATACTCATTCTGCATTACTTTTGCAATTCCAAAACTACAACAGAGTATCCCTTATTATTCTGTAGCAGATTCTTTTCTGTAATGACTCTGATTCTGAAGAAATGTTGCAGGCATTGTTAGAATAAACTCACAAGTAGAAGGTATTTCTCTCAGTTTGTTCCTGTTATTGCCACTCTGCTTTTCAATTAAATTAAGATAAATAAGCATTTAAACACTGAGCAAAAATATTAACACTCAGTGCCTGTAATACTGAGTGTTTTCCAACTGGCATGTTCCCCCATATTCTCTTTTGGTAGAATTTCTTCTTTTTAGAATGGTATACTGGGGGCTTCTCTGCTGATTTCTCAGCTTTCAAAGGGAAAGTTTTTTGGATCACTCACTTAAGACTTAGGATTAGGAAGTGAGTCTGTTCTCTGTTGAAAACAATACATTAGAAACAGAATCTGTATCCAGGGATGTTTCATGTGCAGTCTCCTGAGGAGTGTGACTATACCCTTACCTCAGGAAAACTAAACAGAAAGATGACAAGGCATTATTCTTTGCATATTTAATTTGCAACTTCTAAACACACAGATTAACTTACAATCTATATGGCAACATAGGGTAAAAACAAAACAAATATATCTTCTATATTGCATTTGCAATTCTGAAGTTATAAAGGAATTGTTTTCTCATCCTGTAAGATTATTTTCTCTAATAATTATAAAATGAGTTCACTATAAAATCTGTAGATATAAATATAAACATATGAGCTAAATAACATGCTGGATTAGATAAGAAAGACACATGTTTAATACCAGATAAGATAGTGAGAAAATTTTTCAATAATTTATGATATTTTTCTCAAACTAGCTGATTTTTTAAAAATCCTATAAAGCGACATTAATAAAATTCAATCTTCTTATTTTAACTTGAAAAATGAAATATTGGAAAAAACTTTTAGACTGAATTTGCACGAATGAGTAAATACTTCCTACAGCTTATTCTGTATTTAAATATATATATATATATGACTTTTTCTCTTTTTTTTTTTTGTTTTTTTACTTTGGAGGATGTATATATTAAGATCATTTCTGCTTCTATTTGTTTTACTTTTTATGAAAAAGCTTTTGAATTAAGCTAAAAATTTAATTAGTGTGAACTACAAACTTAGTAGGGAAACAAACTACAACCTCATTGAGAAGTACTTTCTTATAATAAGTAGCTAAATCTCAGCCAGTGATAGGGTGTCAATTGTACAGAAAATACACATTCAAGGTAAATGCCATGCTGTTATAAATCAACTTGTTTCTGTGCTTCGGACGCCCCTTAAAATTAGCCAGCTATCTCTTTTATTTTCCAGCTATTTATTTATTTACTTGTTTACTTTAATATAATGTTTCACCATTTGTTTGAGAAGATTGCATTTGCACCAATACTGATAAACACAGGTGTTTCTTCCTTTTGTTTTTGTTGCTTTTGATTCTTCAAGCTACTCTATGTAACAGAATATGTGATATTTATATATCTGTAACTAGCATATTTTACTTAACCACTTGCTATCTAGTTACACTCATTTTCATGTAATCCACAGAATTTTGTTTTCATAGCTGAATAATAGTCTATTGTACATATGCACATTTTCTTTATTTCTTCATCTAATTATGGACACCTCAGATTATTCCATATATTCTATATTATGAACACTGCTACAGCAAACAAGATGGCTACAGATATCTCTTTTATACAATGTGTTCACAGGTTATAGGGCATAGAACTAGTAGCTGGCTCAATCATACACTATGATCATTTCAGAAATTTTATGAAGTGACTGAATTAATTAATAACCCCATCAACACTGTGTAAAAGTTCTCATTCTCTACATTTTCACCAGCATTTGTTACTCTTTCTTCCAAATAATATAATAATAACCATATGGACAAGGTTGAGGTGATATTTCATTGTGAGTTTGATTTACATTTCCCTAATGGCAACTTTTTAAGAACTAACTACTAAGATGTCTAGCTCACTCACTCTCTTTTACATTTTCTCCATTCCCAACTCTGTATTTCAAATAAAAACCAAAACACATGCCACTGGGGTTAGCCCTTTGCTTTAGCAGATAAAGAAACTGACATACCACATGGGCATTGGTTCATATCCTGGATGCTCCACTTCTGACCCAACTCCCTGATAACAGGCCTAGAAAGGAAGCGGAGGATGGCTTGGGTTCCTGTAACCAAGATGGATACCTAGACAAAACTCCTGTCCCATGGTTTCAGACTTGCTCATCTGTGGACATTCTGGTTATTTGAGAACTAAACCAGCAGTCAGGTGATCTCTCTCCACCTCTCTTTCTCTTTCTTAGCAGCTCTGCTTTTGAAAGAAAGAAAGAAAGAAGAAAGAAAGAAAGAAAGAAAGAAAGAAAGAAAGAAAGAAAGAAAGAAAGAAAGAAAGAAAGAAAGAAAGAAAGAAAGAAAGAAAGAAAGAAAGAAAGAAAGAAAGAAAGAAAGAAAGAAAGAAAGAAAGAAGAAAGAAAGAAAGAAAGAAAGAAAGAAAGAAAGAAAGAAAGAAAGAAAGAAAGAAAGAAAGAAAGAAAGAAAGAAAGAAAGAAAGAAAGAAAGAAAGAAAGAAAGAAAGAAAGAAAGAAAGAAAGAAAGAAAGAAAGAAAGAAAGAAAGAAGAAAGAAAGAAAGAAAGAAAGAAAGAAAGAAAGAAAGAAAGAAAGAAAGAAAGAAAGAAAGAAAGAAAGAAAAGAAAAGAAAGAAAAGAAAAGAAAAGAAAAGAAAAGAAAAGAAAAGAAAAGAAAAGAAAAGAAAAGAAAAGAAAAGAAAAGAAAAGAAAAGAAAAAGAAAAGAAAAAATAAAAACCACCCTGCAAAAGCAAATGGCACTGTGGCATATCAGGTTAAACTACCAAACTCCCCAATTCCAATCTAGCTCTAAGCTAGATTCTGCAGTGGAATCAAAAGATGGCTCAAGCACTTGGGTGAGAGATTCATTTAGCAGACACAGTTGGACCTCCTGGTTCTTCTCTTTGACACGATTCAGCCCTGACCATTGTGACCATTTGGAAAAATCAATCAGCAGATAGCGGACATGTCTTAATCAGTTTTTAAAATAAATAAAAACCCTCAAATGCTACTAGGCACCAAAAAAGCAAAACTGAAACCATAACAACTTTTTTTTTATATTTGGAAACTCTTACTATTCCAAAATGTTGAGTGCTTATTTTTAGGTTGGTACTGAATAATTTTCATTATATCATCTTTAAGATCAATAAACACCATTTCAAACTTGATATTTCATAATAATTAACAAATTCTTACTTTCAATTTGAATCATGCAATAAATATGTCTTGGATATTCCATCAGAAAACGTCGAGGGAAAGTTTGAATCAGATTTAACTGCTCCAGTGTCTAATTATGACAATCTTACCTTCTTTCTCTCATGCTTATTTCTTTGTCTTACTTTAAGAAAACCATAACAAAGCTCCTACAACACAATGTAAAACAAGCTGAGACATAAACATGTAACTTACTGAAAGTGTGGTTGTGTTCTCTAGACTTGGAAGCATGTAGTGGGTTTCTTCCACCTAAAAGAAAAGGTGGATAGAGGGAGTTATGAATTGGTTTTGCTTTCCCATGTTTCCTTATTATTTCCTATTGAGTGAGTAATGTCCAGACAGGAACCAGACACAACGGCTATAGAAGCAAAAATAATCAACTTTCCTGGGCAAGAATAGTGCATTACAGATGACAAGTGCCACAAACGCTTCCTAGAAACAGCATAAACAAGTTCAATAATTGGCAGTGATTAAACTCAAGGTATTATTAAGTTAAAGCAAGCATACTACACTTACTTAAAAATAAAAAAAATATATATTACTGACTTATTTTTTTAACTATTGTCCAAATTACAGCATACCATAAAATATATATATTGTCACTAAAATTTATGCTACTTAAAACTAATTGGTGGTATTAAGTATTTGTCTATTTCTACACATGAGCTGCACAGGACTCCATATAAGGACTTCCATTAGAACATTTCTTGCTGTTAATACTAAAAACTGTTGAAGGCAGACATTTTTCAATTGGAGCAATTTTATGTGTACCTATACAGGAAAAATTGATATAATGCATATTTATTCTATTATTATATTAGTAGTAGTAAAATGGTTTATATATTTTTAAACACTTGAAAATGGGACTGGTGTGGTAGTCTAGTGGCTAAAGTCCTCACCTTACCATGCGCTGGGATCCCATACTACAGCTGGTTTGTCTACTGTCCAGCCAGTTCCTGTCCCATCCAGTTTCCTGCTTGTGGCCTCAGAAAGTACCCGAGGATGGCCTAAAGCCTCAGGACCCTGTTCCTACATGGGAGAATCAGAAGAAACTCCTGTATCCTGCCTTTAAATGGGTTCATCTTCTACATTTAGGCCACTTTGGGAGTGAACTAATGGATGGAAGATCTTCCTCTGTGTCTCTCCTCTTCTCTATATCTGACTTTGTAATAAAATTAAGTTTTTAAATACTTGAAAACTGAGTCATGCTAAAATCTGTAGCACTTTTGCCTGTCAGTAATGGAAAACATACTAAGTAAGAAAAACTGCATTATAAATCTATTGTATTCACACAATCAAAAGTATTGAAAAAGGATTTGCAGAGAAGAGACAAAGAGAAAAGTCTCGATCCCTGCTCATTCACTCTTCAAGTGGCTGCAATGGCTGGAGCTGAGCCGATCTGAAGCCAGTAGCCAGGAGTTTCTTTTTGGTCTCTCACACAGGTGCATGTTCCCAAGGCTTTGGGCCATTCTCTACTCCTTTCCTAGCCCACAAGCAGGGAGCTGGATGGAAAGTTGAGCATGTGGGACATTAATTGGTACCCACATGTGATTCAGGTGCATCCAAGGGTTTAGCAACTAGGCTATAGCACCAGGCCTGCTAGAACTCCACTGGCAGATCAGAGACACAGCTTGCAGGAGGAGCTGGGGCTGTCCGCAACCAAGTACGCTGCAACACAAACCATGCTGGAACTGTGAGCACGCTGGACTGACACAGGCTGAAGCACCCACAGGTTGATGCCAAGGCTAGGCAAGCCATGCCAGACTGGGGTGGAAAGGCAGTGACTGTGAGGCTTGGGAACAGTGGTCTGACACGGTCCTTGGGCCCATCTGTGTGTTGGATGCTGGGTTTGTGAGCCCTGGGGGAATGGGGGTTTTGGTGGAACCAGCATCACATGACCAGGGTCTTTGGGCTCACCTGTGTGGCGGGTACCTGTTCCAGTGGTGTTCAAGTAACCTGGTTGATGTCCTTGAGCCTGCCTGCATGGTGGGTGCTGCGTCATTGAGGCTCAGAAACAGGAGGTTAGTGGGTTCAGGCAGTCTAGCCTAGTCTGTCCTTGAGCCCACACGCAGGTGGATGCTGGGTTCATGAGCCCTGGGGAGGGGAGGTCTGGTGAGATCTAGATCATCTTGGACCCACCTGCATGGT